TATACCTGCAGTGCAGGGTTGACATGTTGGTGTTTCAATGCTGATACAACCCTACAGGGGCTTGTTTGAATTCATTTTATACTTTCAAACCAGCAACCCTACAGAGGCTTGTTTGAATTCATTTGATAGGTTCAAATCCAACAGAGGCTCAACCCTACACTAAATAATTTAAAAAATTTTTTTGTTCTAGTATCTATACAATCCATGTGCAGTATTTGCCATCATTTTTGTGCTGGGTCACTAGCAGAAGCTGTACACAATATACCAGTATAGCATTAGCAAAATTATGATTCTTTTGAAAATGTAGAACAACACACAAAGAATAAGAAAAATAAAAATCAATGAGAGTCAAGTATTGAATCACGAATATCACAGGACTGATAATATGAGTCATCATTGCAGCTATTGAGCCTAACTCTCTTATGATGAATGTTAATTCGAAAGACACTGCGGGACATGTCACGACGAAACAAATCCTTCACTTTTTTGTATTTTCCAGTTACCCAAAGAACATGACCAAAAATCACAGCAATAAAGAATATAAAGAGAAGTATAACAGAGGCAACAAACACCCAAAGATAGTTCCAATGCTTATACTCATAAAAAATGGCAAACCAAGAGAACATGTATTGAAAGAAAAACAATACCATCACCAGCAGATCCAAAATATTGATTAAATGATTCTTAAAAGGTCTGATATGAGCTTGTACTATTATGAACACCATCAGCAATACACTGGTGAACAGTACAATATAACTGGGATTAACAGAATGAAGGGATAAGTATATGACATTAATAGTTATTAACAGAAACAACCTTGCAGTGAACCAGTAGTTCTTTTTCTCTTTATAAGGACCGTGAATGGCTTCATATACTGGTCTGAACTTGTCACTGTATTTCAATAGCACTCTTCCTCCTAACAGTAAGGCAATGTAAGGTACCAAAAGTATACTAGCAATGAAAAGAGTGAAGATCACCAATGCTGTATGTTCCTTTGAAAAGTAAACAATCGAGCCATCATATGTCCAAACACTTATTGGGCCAAAAGCTTTTGTGTGTACTTCAGTGTATGAGAGTACAGTAGCAACCGAATTAATTATTTTATAAAATGATATGTGTAGAATAGTGACCAATACTTGAATTGATGAATCGGCTATATAGTTAGAGAGCCTTGTTGAATAGCGACTGAAAATAATAATCAGCAGCAATATTGAAAGTAAATAAAGGATTTCTATGAAACTGAAGTACATTTTAACTAACATGTCCATTCCATTGTATAAACAAGTTGGATATCCTACTTCTAAATTTAAAAATTTCAGGAAAGCAATTGCAATGGTTGAACACAGTGATAAATAGCCTTCATGAGTATATTTAGGATACTGTAAAATAGTTGTCAGCCCACAATTGGCAGCTTGAGCATAGAATATAATGCCATTGATTGTACCAGTTGTAATCGTCAGCTTTAAAGCATATAATAAGTAAATGAGTAAAGGACCAGCTGTTAAATAAACCATCAAAGTTAGCAACCACCAGTCACTACAAACATGACAGTTGTTTGGTCCATAAACAATGCTAGTTCCATTGATGCACTCTCCACACAAAATCCCACCTCTGTTTGATTCACACATTGATTTAGAGCTAGCACTAACCTCATTACTAAGAACAACTTCAAATGCATTATTGTCATCATTAACTTTGATAATCCTGGAAGTTCCTACCAAACTCTTAATATTGCAGTAGCCGATGGGGCAATATTGTGAATATGCCAATGTACTTTTGTTATTGGATCCCTTATACATTCCTATCCAGGAGATGTCATCTGAGGTTATGTTTTTACTTGAGATGTCACAGCTTCTAGATGGAGCCGTAATTAATGTATCACACTCGCATATTTTGTTGCCTTTATTTTCAAAACCAATTGGACATGAACGAAACTTTATAGTGTACTCATTTCGATTGATTTTATTGCTGGATTTTAATGATAGGTCTACTATTATTACCCCTGGATAGGGGTGGATGTCATTTGTCAGAAGGGTTAAATTCAAAGCTGTACAATTAGATCTACTATCATTTTTCTCCTCAATAAGTTGATAGTTTTCTATTATTGGCATGTGCCAATCTGATTTGTAAACCTCATAAAAATGAGGTGACATACTTGAGTTGCCTTTAGAAATAGTAATAAAAACAAACGATTGCACACTTCGATTCAATTTATCTATTGTCCTTAGAAATATTGTTATTTTCTGCCCTGCATATATATGCTTGTTTGGATTCTGACAAAGCTCTGTTACTTCTGCCTCGGTTGATGTATCATACAGTGAATTATTTATTGGAACAAACTTCATTTTTAGGTAAAGTCCTTCCTCAATAAGTGGAATTGCATAAATAGCATTACCTGACATAAATGCAGCATTAGTGATGAAATCAAGATTGTTGATTGTTCCATTTATTTCATAAAAAATTTGCTTTCCATTCCTGTTAAGGGCATAAATTGCACCTCCTGATTGAATTGCAGTGTTGTTGCAAAACAACAAGTTTGTGCCATTCAGGAAAATCTGAGAGTCTATCAAATAAATTGCTGCCCCAAATTGTGCAGCATTTTCAACAAATTTGTTATTTCCCTTAAAAATTATATTAGCTTCATTTGCAGCAATAAGTGAGCCATAATTGTTCAAGAAATTGGAGCTATCAAAGTGTATTGTATTAATGTTTTCAAATATAGATAAACCATATAGCTGAAAAATAGGTCGATCTGATAAAGTGACAGTATTATTAAAAGCAGTGATTTGAGCCATAAATACAGAGATATTTGCATGATGATTATCTGATTGTACAAAAATACAAGCTCTGTTGCTTATGAATGCAACAAATGAAAGAAAAATGCTTGTACTGATTTTGTTTGCCGTGGCAGTAATATTGATTTTAACTCCCATAGATGACCAAAAAGATGTAGCATCGATCACTATTGCTGCCCATGTATTATCAAATCCCTCTGGTGTGCTGGTATTTAACTGACCTGTAAAAATAACACTATGTCCACTATGATGTCCTTTAAATATACACTTCTTTATTGTGGTTGATGAATGATAAGCATAATTACATCTAACAAGCACTGCATTTGATTTGTGAAACTTAAATTGATTATGAGAAACCATTGTTGTTATTTTGAAACGGCTTTGTGTATACATCAACGTTATCATATCAGCACATTTAAATGACATACAGCACGTGTGATTGTTTTGTTTTTGAAATAAACTGTCTTTAATGTTGACGTAGACATGTTCATGACTTAAGCTGGCATCTGAAAAAAATAAAAAAATCCCACTTCTTTGGTCATCTTCACATTTCTTCACTGGATTTAGATACAGTATTTTATTATTGCCAAAGAAATCAAACTGAAGTAGGTTAACACCAACAATGTCAAATCCTGAAGAAACATTAAACACTGAGGAGTTGATACTGACTCGTGAATTTATAAATATTACAGCAGCAGCAAATTTGTCAAGCAAGTGAAATGTCTCGGTGGTGTTTAAGATAGACAAAATTGAAGGATTGACATTCTGTATGGGAGCTCCACAACCTTTAAATGTCACACCATCTATCATAGTGGTAATTGAAATGTTAATAAAGAGAAATCCAATCTTTGACTTGCATTCTATGATAGCATCATGTGATGTGCTTTTTATCGT